AATTCATATCATTCCTTCTTTTAGAAAAGACTTTGTTGTTCAGTCCAAAGGACAAATATTTATGTAGATTGCTACTGATTAAGGTGAACAGTGAATGAACAACACTGTTTTTGTAACAGTTAATTCATCTTAACTTTATGATCATGCTATTTCAATGTAAAAGATTTAATCAATGTACTTTTCATTTCGTAGCAGTGAATAGAGATTGATGTTATTTCAAACATTTGTAATGCTTCACTTCTGACTAATTAATGAAAGGTCTAATACAAAGTCTTTCAGTAACTGTGTTCACACTATGTTGATACTATTTACATAAGGTCATTTATAACAAGGTAAAATGGAAATTCATTTTAAAAAATGCTTCTGTATAGCTATTCACTATTTGCAATCTTCATGAGTAACTCACATAGTTACTCGAATTAACACAGAGGTAGTATGAATAAAATTAATTACTAGATACTAAACTTCTTAACTAAGTAGAGTTATTGACAGCTTAGTCTGCAACGTTCTTGCATCTACGTGTTCTAGAATGTAACCAAGAAAGATTTTTTCAATACTCTGCTGATGAATCCAGAACCCCTTGTTTATCTTTTAAGTTACTATGATTTACAAGATATGTCTTCTCTTCATTCATCATAAAAGTACTCAAATTTTTCTCACTAATTGACAATAACTGAAATTTGTTGAAATCAATTAAGATTCATAACAAATCACAGGGGTTATTTAGCATTCAATTCACGTGAACTAAAAGTTAACAATGATCTGTGTCTTTGAATGATTATGACACTCATGCTTTTCTTCCCGGATCTGATAACCATGCATTATAATGAATTTTGTTTAATCAAAATCTACCATTTTTAATCATTAGAAATCATCGCGCAGTGTTGACTAGTGTTGGAGACAGATGGAAGCTTAGGGGTGGCCAAACCAAAACGTGACATCAGTCTATAAAGTCACTAACTCTTGATCTGAATCAAGTTGTTAGGTGCAGACTACTTGTTTAGGGTCCGCGCAACTATCGTAACCAATGGTTGGAGACTCTGGGTGACATGGCTCAGAATCGATCACATTGGTATACACGCTCTTTGACTTTTCTTAAACCGTGAGATTAAAATTACTTTATACCTTTTTTCCACAAACTAATTCTTTCTCCTTGTATTATATCCTTATATGCAATCTTTCTTATATATATTACTATCATTAAAGTAATAACTTCTATGGATTTGGTGTTCATCTTGTCGTGCTAATGAGGTGTGGCAATTTGGGCCGATGAATGTATGTGCCTGATCATGCGTTGTAGATGACTGACTGGTCACATAACCTTTTAGTCAATTCACTTCTTTTCGTTCAATATTCTTCATAATTTTCCAGATCAATTTTAAATGCGTTTATGGTTTATTGAAATAGACTAAATATATCTGATTATAGGTAACCACAAATGGTATACTTATATGACATTCACAATGAACTTGTTGTTTGCGTTGTTCGACTTTCTTGTAGTAAATTGTAAATTCGTGCTTTACTCTGCCAAATTCGGTTCAAACAACAAAAATGGTATAACTAGAACTCTCAAATAAAATATGTGAATTGAAGCCAAATAAATTAATTAATGTCTGTTTATTGAACAACATTCTGTAGCTATTCACATAGACCGGTAAAACGATTTATTGAAAGTTTAATGAAGTAAGTTATACTTTATATAATTTTAATTTTATTTTCTTGTTCATCACTAATCTATACTTACTGAAGTAAAGTAATATGACCAATTTAGTTAAATCAATCATTTAAACAACGAAAAAAGTTCTTTTCTCAAATTTAAATCTCCTAAGGTCTGATATCAAAACATTCAAATTTACCATACATATATCTTAGCTGGTTCCCTTTCCTCTCTATAAAATTATGTTTTTATTCCTTTCCTCTCGTCTATATTTATTGTTTTCCCTTAATCAAAAGCAACTTTTAACCTAGTTTCAACTAGTTCATTTGTTATGCTTCATAAAGTTTCATTTCACCTTTCTTTTTTATAGTCCCATCTATTCCTAGTTGTTTATCTTAGACTAACTGGGATATTTTATTTATCCTGTTATGCTCAATGTGTTTATTCGATGTTGATTTCTCCTCTTTTTCAGTTTTTTTTTTAAAGACAGAATTTGGATTAGCTCCCAACCCCTCTCACTCCACTTTTTTCACTTCGCCAGTTTTACTAGATGAGATTAAATTATTTACTTGTTTTCATAACCTATTTTTAATTCTATTCACTTGTTTATCGTGACTCTTATTCTTCTTTTTTCCTCACTTTTGTCTTCAAAACTGTTGTTGGTTTTTTCTCCTCGTGTTTGATACTTGTGTGTATGTGTGTATGTAATCTGTTCATGTTTAGCAACTTATGATGGACCAGTCACTTAATTTTTTAACTTTATAAAAAGAAAATTAATCAGTGAAGTTTGATATCTTCTGCATATACTTATTTACACATAATTTTTGTATCTTCTTATCGGTTGCAATCTATGTGCGTGTGTGGGGAGATGCTAAATTAGTTGTTGTGTTTTATTTATTTATTGTTCTTATCTTTAATTTTCAGTGTAGATATTTAAATGACCTTGAACTTTATTTCCGTAAATTAAGCAAATATGTATTTATTAAAATTCATATGTTATAATCATATTGAATTTCCCATTGATGGTAGTTTTTGTTCCTGTGTGGAAACAATTTTTCGTTGCGTGGTTTGATACTTAAACTATTTTCTCTTAATGAATAGAATTTCGTTGTACAGTAAGATGTGGCTTTTTAGCTATCATAGTTGGAGTTATGACATGATAACTTTGACATGAAACGATACCAAAAATAAATCGCATATAGAGAGACAACAGATAATAAGTTTAGTGGGTGTTATGCGTATGTTTTTCTAGTGAATGGATACAGACAAGGACAAAACAAATTTTCTGCTGTAACTTATCGTAGTAATGTATATATCAACTTAGTGTTTATTAAGATCCTTTCTAAAGTTTGCTACGACCTGATTTGTATTTGAACTATCTATGTATAAATTCATTAAGCAAGTCTCTTCTAATAACCAGATTCCAGTATCCTAACTACGTGCAAGTTGAAACGAAAATGCAAAATCTAGTTTCACAACAAGTTCATTAGCTACTTTCGACGTGATGTTTAAGGATGAATTTATGGATTCGCACTCAGTTCCACTCACATCAACTTTCATAACAAGAAACTTTAATATCTCAACTCTTATAGAGTTGTTGATTAATAGCAGTTTATAAACGTCAATCCTATTGACGTTGATATTTTTTGTTGCTCTGTGTATTTGGACTACAACCGTACACCTTAACATTAAAAATGTTTTCATTAAGGTAAATAGGACAATTTTAATTGCTAACCTTCTTGATTTGTAAAAGAATTATATTAGTAAAGTTAGCGGCGAAAACTTAATATGCGGTACACTAGATAAATGTGTCTGCGCCCCATTAGTTTTTGATTTTATTTCAATCAGGTATCCAAGTTAGCTCTCTATTTTAATCATTCTCAGGACGTGAAAAAATGAACACTTTAAGAAACACATCGAGTTATTCAGTAAACGATGATAAGTTGATTTGAGATTTATTCGTATAGTTATTTCAGATGAATAATATTTACAGAAAAGTAAAAGATAGTAAATTCCACTAATCAGTTGCATATGAATATGCGAAATGACCGTAGTGTCGATCTATGTCTATTTATATTCATTGTTTAAGTGTACACTTATTCCGTTCTGGTGGTCGTATAACCAATTCTACTGATGATACTACTTAACTGCATGGTACATTATGGCGTATGCTAATTATGTCGACAATCATGTGTAGTGTGTAACACCAACCAAAAGTTGAATGGCTGTCAGAGGGCTAAGAAGATCGAATTGAAGAAGACAGGAAGAGGAATAGAAAGGAATGATGGGTTGGAAGAGTCAGACGGAATATAAAATACAATCGACGAAAGATTTGCAAATGAAGCATTTAATGTTTTACCAAGAAATCCTGTAATTTTGTATGAAATATAAATTGTTTATCCTCATCTGAGTATTCGTTCATCACAACACGTTCACAAACTCATTTTTTAAAGACTCTAAACACTCAGAGATCCTTATACTTTGACACCTTCAACTAATTTAAAGTAAATATCACTAAGAACATTTATTAGTAACACTAAAGAAGAACTATGCTAGGTCATATCTATTGAGGGTAAATATCTATTTTTAGTACTCTAGTGAAAATAGTGCAAAAGTAACAAAATGATAGGTGATAAGCGTGTTAGACAAAAGTAAAGATTGTCCCACGTGTGTCTCGCAAAAAATCAATTAAAATTTACATCGTAAGGGATTCAAGCGGATTTTAAGGATTTAAATATTTTGTACAATATTTCTCTGTCATGCCTGCTAAAAATTTACAATTTGGCTGTGGTAGCGTAAAAGTTCAATAAAATAGAACGCTGAGTAACAAAAATACTTCATGTTATACTCTTTTTTTACTAAGCCACAGAAGTATATGATGAGAGAATCCAACTTTTTACCATAAGAAATTATTCATTGTGGTAAAAATAACCTATGATAAGCCTGAAAGTACAATGAACATTTTATTAAATAACTGATATGAATTCTCTTATACCAACAAACTAGAACATCTAACGATATTATAGGGTAAACATCATCATCAGTTCATCTGTTTTACCGTTGGCTTACAAAAATCACCAGTTCATGATATTGTCAAAAATAAAGCTAGATCGAAAACGATACGGGATTTCAATTAAACTATGTACTTAAATGAGACATCGTTGTTACTTGAGAAAATCCATAAGATTTTTACATCTTCATGAAGGACACTCAGTTTTTCATGATATGATTCAAGATGATGAAGAAAGATTTTCATACCAATTATTATGTACTTCTTATTTTACATGAATTAAGATTTCAATAGAATGATGTTTTACATTCTATTCTTTTTAATTTTCTTCAGGTCCACACAATTCCAGCTAAAATGTTTCGTCGTGTTTTAACCCTAGTACAAGCACATTGTAAACTTGGTTTAACAGCAACATTAGTTCGTGAAGATGATAAAATAACCGACTTGAATTTTTTAATTGGACCTAAATTATATGAAGCTAACTGGTTAGAATTACAACAACGTGGTTTTATTGCACGTGTCCAATGCGCAGAAGTATGGTGTCCTGTTACACCTGAATTTTACAGAGAATATTTAAATGTAAGTTATTAGTTCATTTATGATATAGATTCTTTGTGTTGTATTACGTTTTAATCAGCCTCCTATTCATAGCTCAACATTAACATATCGTTTTATATTCGATTAATTAAATATTAGTGAGTAAAATAACATAATAATAGTAGTTGTGATTGGTAAAAGTATAGTTTGATTTTTTTGTTTGTTTTCAACTCTAATTATTCGATTGTTTTAAAAATTCAACCAAACTAGTAGTTGATATGTAGTTCATTAATGGAATTATATACTGATCATATTCTATCAAAAAGCAACCACACTTGGAAATCTGAACAATTGAATTCCTAATAAGTGTTTAAAAGGCTTTTTGTTCTTCGCCTGACCTGAAGACTGTGGACGCTTATTACCAAAAAGTCTTAATTTAGAACAAAGAAAGATCTGTCCTATACTTTTCAGAATCTTGTATTCCTAAGATGATGTAGTAATAATTTAAGCGTTCAATCTTGCACTCTATATAGTAGTAGTCGGTTCCATGACCTGTGTATCGAAAGTTTTCCTCCATTAAAATGTCCATTTTGTCTTTGCTTCTTAAAAATATTTTATTCTTATTATTACTTAACAAAACATAACCTGAACTCGTATAAGGTACTGGTTATCATTATTGACGTCACACTTCAAAAATTCATCACACCTACTGTCAATCTAAAATCCAGGAATTGGAACTCAAAGTATAATATGAAACATATAAGATTGTTGATAATGTATTGCTAATATTTTATTTGTCTCATACATTTTTGTTTCGTTTTCAAGAGAAATCTGATTTTAAAGAAAGAATAATTTCCTCCAATTAAACATTGTTTACTACCAAATACCTACTATTTATTATTGTTGTTGTGACTTCACCTTTCATCAATCCGTTCATTATGAAGTACTTACAGCTCCATAAAATTTCAGTTATATTCAAATATAGATTTTAGAAATAATTCAGTTTTTTTTCAATCTTCAAATCATTATTTCAGTCTATATGCTGATGAAGAGTGTAGCCAAAAACCTTGAAATGCAGTTCATCAGTAGTAATATCCACAAATATTAATCTTTCAGTCTTCGTTAATTGTTACTCACGATTTCTATTAAGACTTATTTCCTGTTTACTTCCACCAAACTTTCACCTTGTTTCACCTATATTCTTCACGCGTGTTATCATAGTTCTCCTTCAAGGCCTCAAGACACCATTTATGGTTTCAGTTTTCTATCCTATTTTCGTTTTCGTATCCAAACAGTTAACGGTGACCACGTGATTCTATTGTATCTCTTTATTTTCATCCTACTAATTATAAACTCTTAAACTATAATCTTAATGCAAAACCATAGAATTCTTCCATGGAAACTGTTCTCTAAAATCGATTTGTGTATTTAGCTGTAGGCTTATTGTTAAGGTTCACAGGACATTTGAAACGATGCCCCTAATACTAACTATTCTGAGTGGCATTGTCCGTCAGCCACAATTAGTAACATATTATAAAGGATTCATTGTTAATGACTTAGTCCTTTTATTTTAACAGATATGCAAGTTTATGTTATAATAAAGTTGTGGTACACTCTGTTTATCATTTACTAAAATGTACAACTGGAAACCAAACAAACAAGCGGAAACTTTATTATGCATTTATACATTAGATTTTATTGAGTTAACATCGAACACTGAAAACTAAATTTAAGTCTCAACTGGTTATTTGATCAGTGTACATTTTTAATTTTAATTTTCGATTCGAATAAAACGATTCACTAAAATCTGATATTTCCAGTGGCTATATTATTTGAAAAAGAAATAAATGCTTATTCTTCCAAAATAGCGGAGTTCCACCAAATTATTTTACCAGATTAGAATTATTCGACTGTATTATTATTATTGTTACTATCACTATAATTATAGTATCGTTACTTGTCACATAACACTGACAATGTTATTCCTTTGCTCTTTTTTTCTCTCTTGTTTCATACTAATATAATCCACATGTTACCGTTTTGCTAAATAGTTTTATTCAAAGATACATCATTTTTGAAAAAAATAAAGATTTATTGCTAGATAAAAATGTTAAATGATATTTATACATTGTGTATCAGTTTCTACTCACTGGTAGTAGTGTGGTGTGTGCTACTTACATTGACATAAGTAGTGTATGATGTTAGTCGTGAACAGAAGGTCTGGCAGCAGCGAGACAAGAGGATCGAACGATAAAGAATGGAAACAGGATGCAATTTGTATGAAAATCCAAGAACAATGAAGTCTGAGTCATTTTGAGACAATTGGTGGACATTTTGCAAATTAAGCATTTACTATATAATTGTTACATTTTATTAACAAGTCCTGTAATTTTGTGTTAAATACAATCGATTGTCCCCACCAGTGTTCTGTTCACTACCGTAGTATTAACAGTGAGTAATCAAAGCAACAGCAACTCCCGGTGGACTTCGTACACAAGGACACTATTTTCCTCTTTTTTTAAAATAAAATTGATAGAATTTTTAAGTGGTTTGCTGTCATCACGATTCAGTGAGCTTACAGTACACATTTATAGTTGATAGTACAGGCGTTCGATAAAAATCACCCATGCACAACGTTGAATATTCAAGGCACTTGGACAATTCAGATGAAAAGTTAATAATGAGAATTGTTTAGAATGATTTACACATCTTTCTCCCACTTTTAAGTGCTTTTAGTTTTATTTATTACAGAATATAAGATGTCCGCACTTGTATGTACTTAAGTTTTAATTTACGTTGTTTAACTGAATTATTCGACTAATCCAACTGAACACATACATTTACTTATTAGTCATTTTGTTTACTCTCATTTATTGCAAGAGGGAAATCCAGATTTTTACTGTTGTTCAAATACAGTTTATTCGAAGCTTTTTAGCAGGAATTTATTAAAGTGTTTATTTAATTATTATTATAACCTTTGGGCGAAATTCATTTAATTTTTTGTAGAATAATATTAAAGGAACTATTCTCGGTTAAATTGAACCTCTTATATTATTATTATTATTTTCATTATTATTATTAATAAGGTGAATAATTCCATAAATATGGAATTTCTTTTACTATCAATATCATATCATTCCTCGTCTTATGATATTGCTCAGAATGGCAGTTATTGTATCGTTCTTTGCATAAAAAGAGAGGATGTATCGTAGTTTTATTACGTATTCTTGTAAACTTGAAGTATTATTTTTAACGTTTAACGGTGTGTGGTTGTAAAACATAACTTTGTGTTGTTGACAATTACTGAAGATATAATATAAAATATCCAGTCAATGTTTTGTCTGATATCGATAGATCTGTACTTTGCTGAACTCAGACAGTTGACTCTCAGTTCATCCATATTAGGCGTAAGTATTGTTGTTTGTTCGTTTGGAATAGTTAGAACTTGCAACTCGGCACATTACTATATATAAATAATTAATTTCGTGTATGATCCCGTCGGTAGACTTACTGCAACTTAGAGCGAAAGCATACGACTCAAAGAAATTAGGTCTGTAAACCAGTTTTCTTATTGTTATCACGGTTTTAAGTGATAGTTTTTGCCTGATTTGAATTTCTCAATAATTTTCAACTCAAAAATCCTAAAAATCGGGAGAAGAGAAAATCGTTTAACAAATACATAACTTATAACTTTTCAATAAAAAAACGGCATAGTAATGGATGCAACGATAAAAGAACACTAATTGAATTGAAATTATTATATTTTAAATGCAGCGAAACTTTGATTACATAGTTTATCGGTTAAGTAAATATTGATGTTAAGATGTGTGATTCCAAAATACATCTCAAATTGATGAGTCAATAAGATAGGAGAGTGGACATACTCGACAGTTTATACATTAATTTCATTGAAACTGCTTACTGTGCAGTCATGAAAACATCACCCTAATGATAGGGTATTGAAAATACATGAGTTAGTATACAATCCATATGTTTGGAACAGTCATACTGGATTTTCGAAAGTACATTTAGATCCCTTTATTTACTATCTTTTATATTGTATGGGTTTCGTATTTCTAATTGAGCCTACAAAATTGAGTAATTTATTCATCTTCCGAATTTTAGTCAACAATTATAATCCTCAAAGTCATAGATACTTTGGTTATTACATTCATATTGTCCTATTTAGCTTTGTAGAATGCACCATAGCCACCTTTAATGTTCATGTTGGAGGGTACTATAGTGGATTATCCTCACCTTATGTTGGATTGCAATAATGAATACAAGATTTACTAAGAAATCGTAACTTATAAAGTAAACTAAATCAATATTAATGGTGGCTTACCGATGATATTAAAGAACAACATCGCTACGATAAAGAGTTCTAGTCTAGTAACTAAGCTACACGAATTTGAAGATCAGAAGCCCATATGATAAACTCTACAATACATGCTGTTGAAGTGTCAGAAAATGAAATAAAACATATATATATATATATATATATATATATATATATATATATATATATATATATATATATATATATATATATATGCCATTGCACCGAGTATTTATCTTATAGTATACCTTAGCGGTTTATTTCTGTTTCTTTATTATTTCTGAATCCGTTTCATTTCAATATTAATATTTTATCATACTGCACGCGACTTCGTTGACAATTATTAGGACCTTTTTGATATTCCTGATGAGTATTCAAGGTTAACTACATTCCTAATATTTTGTTGTATTACACATAACGCTCCTCTGTTATTGTATTCATTTAATTATTGTACTGAACAAATATATCATCGATTATCGTTGTAAAAAATATACTAAAATACATGCCTGTTCCATAAGTGACTGAGTATCTCGGGTCAGAAGCTAAGTGGATAACGCGTTGGCGTTTCAAGCGAATGGTACTGTGTTCGAGCCCCAGAGTGAAGAACATATCGGATGTAGGTACATCCAATGCTAGCTACATTCCGTATGTCTTATATTAGGATGTATCTGTGTTTATACAACTTTGAGAACAATCTCACTAGAAAGTGACCTCACTCAACTACTTTTGATTTTTTCAATCAAAGTGATCACGTCAAGTTATTTGTTATGGAGTCTAAGTACGCGTTACGTCATTAATCCTCAGATGACTCTGGGCTTGGACTCTTAATGAATAAAAAAACATTTATAAATCCCACTTATTTAGTGTTTTCCGTTTTTTAGTGGTTTGTTTTTAAATCATGCCAATTAGTGATATAAAAGCATGGTAAGTAGTTCTCTAATCATTTAATTAAATACAAGTCCACTAACTCTACTTTTTGAGTCAGTTGTTTTAAATAAGGGATTTCTTAATTGAAAGTTGTATCGATGGTAAATCTGTTTAATCATTTTTTGTGAAGAATTACAACATTTTATCTATTTTTCTGTTGCGTTATGGATAAAATGAAACAAAAGTAATAAACTATACATTTATTATGATTATTACTGTTAGATGAAAAGTATGAAGAAATTATTATTAGCTGCTATGAACCCGAATAAATTTCGTGTATGTGAATATCTCATACGTTATCATGAGCGTAGAAATGATAAAATTATCATATTCTCTGATAATGTATTTGCATTAAAATACTATGCAACAAAAATGGGACGTCCATTTTTATACGGTCCAACTGGTCAAGCGGAACGTATGCAAATATTACAAAATTTTCAACATAATCCTAATGTAAGTTATTTTGTTGAAACAGTTGTTTAATTAATCATCTAATAATAAATTTTTATGATGAAACCTGTATTTATTTTTTCTGTTTGGAGTAATTTGCCATCCTGTTAATTTCCTCTTCCCTCATATATATGATTCCAAGATTATTTCTTTCTTCCCACTCACCTTTTTCATGTTGATGAACAATAAGCTTTTCAAAATGTCTTGGTGAATTAAATCCTCTGTCTCATTTAGATAAGGAATCGATCAATATTAGACCACCATTGAAAACATGGAAGCACTAGACGGGCGTTTCGTCCTAGTATGAGACTTCTTAACACTGAGCATCCACGATCCCATCTCCATAACCACATACTGATATATCCTTTGTTTCCATTGTAGAACTCAGTGCTGTTTTTAATTGGTTTCATGAACTCAAGAAATTTATGCTTGTTTAAATGATACACAACTTAAATACTGGGAGTTCCTTAATTTTTCTGATTATATAAAGTAACCATTAAGCTGGTCTAGCTAAATATTGTTTCTCAGGTTATAACTCAATCACACCTATTTTAGGTTGCTCGTATTTGGTTGATTAATTAGATCACGACTGGATTACTGAATACATATAAGTGTTTTGTAAAAAAAACATAACACACCACGTTCAACAGCTTGATGGTTAAAACTTAATTACTGGCAACCTTCTAAGTTATTCCATTTAATGGTTTGATTTATATGAAGCTTAAGTATACTTTTTGATATCATTAATGTTCCCTCACTATTCAACTAATTACGGTATAGTATTTTTTCTTGTTATTGTACAATCGTTTTTTTTCTCATAGAAATATTTACTAATCGTATGTTAGAAAAATAATGTGTCCTTGTGCGTGTCTGTAGTTCAAGTGTAGTATCTGATTGCCCTTGAATGAGTACTACCGAACGCATTTCAATAGTCATACGGACGCCAAGAATAAAGTTGAAAACGATAAAGAGTAATACATTTTCTATAATTTATTCATGCACTTTTAGTAGAGTTCAACGTCAATTCGATTTAATACTTTTTGCTTAAAAAACTTAACCACGATTCACAAAATCTAACTAGTATGTATTTTAATTAATATAAACTTAAATTTCGTTCTATAAATTTCTACAAACAGGTTCCGGCAATATTCGTTTCTAAAGTTGCTGACAATTCATTTGATTTACCTGAAGCAACAGTTCTCATACAGATCAGTGCTCATGGAGGTAGTCGTCGGCAAGAAGCTCAACGTTTAGGACGTATTTTAAGAGCAAAGAGGGGTATGGATGCTGAGGCTTACAATGCATTTTTCTATTCGTTAGTCTCTCAAGATACTATGGAAATGCAATATGCTTTAAAACGCCAACGTTTCTTAGTTAATCAAGGGTATTCTTATAAAGTAATTTACAATATTATTAGTAAATTGATATTTATTTGTTCATATAAATTATTCTTCAATTTATGTGATAAGTATGCTTGGGAACTCCTTCGTGATTTTTGAAGCTTACTTTGTAAGTAAAGTGCGAACCATTAGATCTAACACTAGAACTGTATGCTAATAATAATAATGATAATAATAAACAGTATTTTCAAAAGTTTCATTATCACTCCATGACACACCTGAATGATTGCTTAACGCCTCTGTTTATTTCTTATTTTATAACATACTTATGTAAATATAACCGTTGGTGAAATACAAGTGTGTGCAATTATTCAAGTACTATTCCAGAAAATGGATATTAAGTCAACTTTTGATTCATACTACTGCTGGTTTTGTTTTTAAGTTTCACATTACTGTTGTAGAAATTGCTCTGCATTCTGAACAGATATTTTAACTAATCATAGTATCTGAGAGCAGAAGAATCTATTCATAGGTTAACAACATATACCATATATGTAATACTCACTTCTAACTTGTAATATACTCATCTCCATTCCTTTTATCGAAGAGGAAATTTAGGTCAGTTTTCATCATCCAAGTGATAACTCCTAGAAAATGAAGTACAGAAAGCACTGTGATCTACTGTGATTAATAACTGAAACGAGCGAGAAAGAAACCGAATAGTGAAACTTTTCGTTTCTTTTCACTAGGTGTAACTGAAATTGATTCTGAACTTCACATATATTTGCTCTCAAAATATCAGTCATGAATCTACGAAAAGAGAAAAATTCTTTCACCATCATTGTAAAAGGGAACTATTCGTATGTTGTAGACTCGTTTGTCTCTGATTTACCATAAAAAGCTTTAACAGTCATTATAGGCAATTAAGGGCAATCTAAACTGTACGTAAGGACATATAATTATACTGAATCTTGTATTTGACATAAAAATCTCCATCTTGGTTATTCTTCTTTGTCAACCACTACTTTTGAATATCATTTTCTTATCAACAAAGCATCTGTTTTGAAGACTGTATAATCTTATTAATAAGATGTTTTTTATCTGGATGATGGGTGGTCGAAGTGGAATGAGTAAAGCCGGGTTATAACATGCAACTCAGTTTTCCTAAAAGTTGTATGTTTTAACTACTTAACCACTCTATTCCATTATTAACTCTCCAAATATATAACAAAACAATTCCACATAAACCTAATTGAATGGCATATTAAAGAAAAAGTTTCATGATTCACTAACACATTTTTATAATTTCAAATCAGATGCTGAGTACAATCTGGACGAAACGGCACAAGATTGATTAGTTAATTAAATTGATAAACATGTTTATTTTCATAGTTTCTCTTATCTCTGTGTGTATGTTTTATTTTCCCTGAAGTCGATATATATGTATATGAAATTATTCAAATAGTGACATACTTATTGAAGCTTTTCTTACATTGTTTACTGACTAAATATTTACCCTTTTATACATATATATTTAATATCAGGCTGTCCAAAAATAATTTTTGTTTCCTTCACTTGTTCTCTACCAACATTTTTACATGTCGACCTTGATTTATTTATTTACTTGTTTATCGAGAAATGCCTAAGATGAAATGAGCAATTATAACTTCTGTAATGAATGACGATGCTGAAGGGGAAGAGTAGGTAGAGGAGCTGGAAAATGAAGTTTTTTTAATGATGATAATTTTGATTTTTTTTATTCAGTCCACACAGCCCTAAGATGATGACTAAACGAGTCAGTAGGTTCTGTAGTTATACAGTATTTATTTATTTTGTTTATATTTCGCATATATATATATTAATTTAAGGCAGTTAACGTGTGGTCAATGTGTTTGGATCTTACCCCATTTACTGAAGGTGAAACAATTAAAGATTAACATGGAGCTCTCTGTGAACTGTATAATTAATTGTTAATTGTTGTCCAGTTCATTCCTCCGTAATTCATATGCAGTTTTTAGAGAGTTGAGTTTTATTTGATAGGTCACAGATATGTCTTCAGTCATTTCAAAATTGAGCATTTCATTAGTATAGTATTTTTTTAAAGAAAAATATTCTAAAAGTAAGATGAATTTCAGTATCTGAGTATTGTTTGCAGAGAAATATTGGTGTTCATTACATTAACCTCTTACTTCACAGCCTTACACTCTTTTATATAACTTGTAGAAATCATCAAAGAGTATTCGTACATCCACATCCATGTAGGATTTATTGAACAACATTTCAAGCCTTAAGCGCCTCAGCCATCTTTGCCATTTCGCTGTTAACGCAGGTTATTTCAAGGTCAATTTCTATTTAATTATTGAATTGTACTAATCGTTCGTTTCAGTATACACTTTGAATTTTAAAAATTATGGGATGGCAATACGTATCAACAATCTACTGATGCTTATTTTCTTTTCTCTATTTAGGTTATCACAAGACTAGCAGGAATGGAGACTGAATCATTAAAATTGAATACAAAACAAGAACAAGCGGAATTATTAAATCGGGTATTAGCTAGTACAGATGAAGATGCTATGGAAGAGAAATTACCAACTGATCCGGATAGTTTTAATTATACGAACATTTCTACAGGCATATCTGGTTTGATTCGTAAATCTAGTAAAATGTCCAGTTTATCTGGTGCAGATGACGCTATTTATGTTGATACTAGCTCGTCTGCTGCAAGAAAAGACAAACTGAAAGAAAGGCATCCATTATTTCGTTTGTTCAAAAGATAGATATTTTGTTTTGTATTGATGTTAACTATGGTTTAGTCTTTCATTTTACAAGTTGATTGTTGAAAAGATATTTCAATAATAGATTATTGTATTTTACTTCCCGTGCCTGATTATAACATCATATTGGTTACCATTTTTTAAATGTTTTTCCACGTTTAACTTCTTAAGGCGTTTACATTAACCATCATGTTTTCATCTATCAAGTTGTATGTATTACATGGCTGACATTGTAGTGGAGTTTGAGCATTCATGAAGTCATGTTAGTTATTGTTAGGTTCGTTAACCTTGAGGATACTATTGATTTGACTTATTCGGAACGGAACGAAGGCTCAGGATTCAGAGACTCAATAGATTATTCTGGTCCGTTGTCTTCGACTAAGCTAACTCGATCAAGAAGCCTTGGTAAGGCGTAGAAAGTATATTCTACAAGCAACAGCAGATACCAAGTCAGGCAGGCAGATCAGATCAAGCATACAAGTCAAGCGTATTTATACAATTATTTACAATCGATATTGTCATAGAAAATTTTTAAACATTAATCAATGAGTTCATTAATTGACCTATTTGCGCATTTAATCGATAGTTCATCAATTGACCCCAATATAAATATTTAAACATTTAATCAATAAGTTGATCGATGCGATAAAATTTAAAATATGAGTTAGGGGATCTATCGTCCATAACAGTTATTTAGTCCGATAGATTTGTTTTTCTTCTTGTCTGATTATTTGGTTATGAACTGTATTCACTAAAATATGTTACATCGCGTGCTGTCTAAGCAATGTAGTATAGGCTTCCACTTATAATCGCTACCTTATACATAAATACAGTGATTTCTAGGATTACTAACTTTGTGGAAATACTAAGTGCTGTAACTTGTGGGTCTTGCATCATTTTCTGGATTTGGTACACATGTCTTATTTGGAGAGGGCAGATTTATTGAGTTTATGTTTCGTATAGAAAGGTGAGGTATTTACTTGCTTTTTTCACCTTAAACCGACACAAAATGAACTTTTACTATTCCTCCCATTTGTTTTAACTAAGTATGTGGGTAATGTTAGCCTCGTAATGAACTTCATAGCTAGGAGATCTCTTAACCTTTTCTGCTTTTTAGTCGAACAGTAACCATACACTTCACACGCTAAGAATATTTCTTCGCTTAAAAAGTGGGTTCCTGTTTAAAAGTCCAAATCTCCAAAGGAAAGATACTCATATGGAAAAACGCATTTGCTTTAAACAAAATTCACTTCGACAGTAGGTAGGCTCATTAGTAGTTAAAACAACTATTCCATTAGTGAATATGAACCGCAGAGGGACAACTCAGTCCAAACAGGGTAAATGTGAAGACAGGCTTTCATCGCATTCACTAGCATTCCGTTTGTTTGCAGAGATTCTCAGCTTTCTGCGTACCTCAACTTTCATATTTCTCTTCGACTCTAAATACCACAACTAATAACGACTTCTTCATAATTGACTAATCACTGGGTGGTGATCAATGTCATGTGTCCAGTCCTTCATAGTGTAGGTCGAATGCTATCGACCAAGTTGCAATGTGGCTACTGGTCTAGGTGATTCGACATTACGTGCACTATGTTGAAATAGTATGGTGGTTGGAGGTAGTCAACAGTAAACTCTGAACCTGGGTTTTGTGCTACTTGGCACTCGTCAGCAAGGTGTACCTGTAATCTTGAGGGAACTGGTGCTCCCTGACGGATTCGATCCCATGTCACCCATATTTACTGTCAGAGAGGTTACCACTGGGCTATCCGGGCTGCGACCGACCTATTGCTATAACTTAGGCAACTCCTCTCTAGAAGTGTCTCAAGTTGAAAAGGATTTAGGAGTGTTGGTATTATACAATTTGAAGTTTATGATTATGACTTCTATAGCCATACGTGTCACTCAAAAATTTGTCTGTGACTTAATTTAGAGTTGCTTGAAAAGTAACGCTTGAACTAAGCGGAAAAAGCTGAAAGGAGCTTCTGTGCTAAACCAAAGACTTTCGCTAAACTTGTTTGAAAAATACCACCACAAACGAAAAAAACCCAGAAGAAACAATCTCGCAAAGAGATTTGGTCCGTAGAAACCATTTTAATGTGAAATTATGGAAGAAATGTCTAGTGGTCGGTGAATTTGAGACTTGCATTCACCCGCACAAATACTGGCAGTACATTCTGCTTTGTAAATGATGAGATATTATGGTAATAATAAAAAGTCCGATATTTCAGACTCTTAATTTACTCAGTAAAATCTTTGATGTCCCTAGCTTTTAAAGTTCATCAATCGATCCTACAGATAGAGAAAGCCACAGTTTATTTTGTAGAATATCACTAGGGGAGCTTACACAGTAATTTAAAGTCGGAGTAATGAACTAAGAAAGAGGATCATTCTCTCCTAAAATAGGCTGTTGCTGATGGTATCCGGTCAACGAACATTCAGAATCTTATATAGACAATTATTTATAAATCCTTGTATCTTTTTGAAGATAGTTGTGGTAGTTCTGCACGTTTCAGCTCCGTACAGTAGTTCCTCGAAGTATAAAACCCATCCCCTCATCTATTCTTCAATTTCAGTGAAGGACTTCACTTATTTGCTCTTGACCGGTCTCTCTGGTTTAGCGTATTTCCCTGTCAGTTTCTTCGTTGCGTCATATGTTTGTTTCGTATTCTTACCCTTGTGGCTTTTCCTGCCGTCTATCCTATGTCTTCCATTTGTTTCAGCTTATCAGCCCTAATACTTTTTTAACTTACTTGTTTGCTTTCGTGTATTCATCTTGTGACTTGACTTTCTCTGCTACTGTTCGGCTGTTGTTAATTACTGTCTTCTTGTTCTCCCTGTCTTGAATCTTGTTCAGGGTTTCTATAAAGATCCATTCCTTATGATGATGATTCTTGAGGACCAGGACCTCCTGACGCGTTGAGGTTAGTGCTTCTTTGGTCCCTTTCCAGTTGTCCTCTATAGTAGTTTCTTCTTCAGTGGCTCCTGTAAGGCTTGGAACCTGTTGTTAAGAGTTACCTTGAATTCGTTCAGTTTGTCAGTATCTCGAAGAAAGGCTTACTGAACGTTTGTAATGCTGTTTGTTCAGTTTTTCAATGCTTCTCTAGCGTCAATTTCATCTTGGCCACAACTAGGTGGTAATCTGAGGCTATTTCAAATCCTCTTCTGGTTCTCACGTCCTCCATTGACCTTGTGATGTTTTCCTGATGCAAATATGATTGATCTTCATCGTCATCATTGCCATCATTGGTGAGTGCATAACACTGGATAACATTCATTGTAATTCGCTCATTCTTTGTTTTGAAGGATGCTTTGATGGTCGTGGGTCCATGAGATTCCCATCCTATAAGTGTATTTCGTGCTTCGTTGGGCAGCATCAGAGTAACTCCTAGAGTTTGTGGAGTATTTTTCTCTTCGTGACCGGAATACAACAGCATCTCTTCCGTACCTAACCTTTGCTGCCCAGCTTGGGTCCAATGAGTTTCGCTGAATCTGAGAACCACCAAGTTGAATCACCTCATTTCGGTTGCTATTTGACTGATCCTCCCGGTTTCTTACGTTGTCTGGACGTTCCATGTATCTACAAAAATTGTTGTTCTAGTTGTTAGAAGAAACATTGGTCTCGTGACTTCCAAAGAATCTCGGCTTTCATCATGAGGAGTTATAATTCTTCCTTCAACCAAAAGAGTTTGAGTGGTTTAACTCGTTTAGCAAGATTGTTCTCTATGGTTCATGTTTGCCGACCCCAAACCCAACCCTTCTTGTTTGTGTGGGCTTGAGACTGGCAGTATCTGTAGAAAATAGACACGCAGAGGTGAACCTATATTGTCTTTATGGAAATTTTGTGCCATTTTTTCTGATCTATTTACTGTCTTAGATTAACTGTACAGTTAACAACAACTCCTTACATAGAATTCAGTTTTATTCTATGCCAAGTACTGCTGTGGTGTGTGCTACTTATATTGGTATAAGTAGTATATGTCGCGAGTTAAAACGTAATATCTGGCAGCAGAAGATGAGATGGAGATCAAGAAAGGAAGCGAGAGAGCACAATGGAATTTGTAAGAAAAACCATGTACTATGGAATGGGAGACAATGGATTAGTGTTTGCAACGGAAACAGTCCAGTTTGATATGATGCATTGATATTTTGCAAATGGTGATTGACTTCATGGTATTCAGATTTTATTGAGATAGTCTGTAATTTTTGTGCTAAAGACATTCGATTGTCTCCACTCGTGTTCTGTTCACTACACTGCTAGTGAAGTCAAGATAGTAGACTAAGTATAACATAATTTACAAATAACATGAACTATCTATTTTTATGATGACGCAAATGTTGAAAAATCAGTCGTCTTGTTTTATTAGGACATAAATTAATCCTTATCGCGCTTATAAAAAGAAAAGTGGTATTTTTCCTGAGTATATTCTATTCTTTCTACCGTTTATTACGTATCAAGACTACTGTTTTCACCTTATTTGAATTTATTTCAGCTAAAGTATTCGATTGGAGTATCGTTTCTGTTTCTAAATTAGTTTGTCGTCGCTGTTCCAAAAAGGACATTGATTTTGTGCTTGTTGTGTAATTATTGCATCGAAAGCATTCTTGGTGTAAATCAAAGTAGTTTAGTTAAGGTTTTGAAATCTTGCTAAAGTCTGTTTTGTGGTATCCTTTTACTCGTTGACTGACACTGTGTTCGTACTGTGATCATATTGTATTTTACACCTTAATCTGACTAGATCGGTTGGTAGTACTTACAAATGTGGACAACCAAACTGTTTGTTCCCTGTGGAAAAAGGAATGTGGAGTGATGAGTGCAAAAAGTGGTTCCATAGGATGTGCACCCGTTTAAGTCCCACCGCACTCAAAAGATGTTTGAAGCCTAACTCACATTGGCTTTGAATGTTTTGCTGTGCAAATAAGACGTTACTAATACAGGAGGCTATGAACCCATTGGCTTTGGCTTGTAAGAAGAACGAAGGCGCATACGCGGATAACATGAGCACTGACAGTGACGAATGTGTCAGTGTAGTACTTGCTGTTACGAGACGCCTTAAACAACCGACTTTTATTGACAAAAAAGTTAAATCTCCGTTAACACTAACAATGGGGTAATACCACCTGACACTGACATTGGTAACCATGATCCTCTAGTGGAAACTGAAGATCTGGATAAAACGGTCACTGCTCCAAATAGTAGTAGTGTCCTGAGGGATCAAAAACGCCAACCGTACGGAGAAAACGAAAAGAAAAAAGCTGTAGACGGTACGCAGATGGTTAGCAAATCACTGGT